CAGCAGCAGCAACAGCAACAGCAGTTGTACCAGCAGTTGTAGCGGAAGAAGCACCACCAATAACCACAGCAGCAGCAGCAGCAGCAGGAATGCCATCACATCTTGAACTTCATCCTAGTCTCTGACATTTCGTACTGGTACCAGCAAAGCACGAGCCAGTAAGAATGGAAATTGAAGCCGTCCGAAGCCTCGCTTCATTTAAGGTTCCGCCTTGAGCTCCTTCACGGCCTCTCGACTCCAGCCCTGCAGCTCAGGACTGGACAGACTCTGGTATCGTTTTACTCAAAAGCGCACCTCCATTGCTGAGGGTTTTCACTCAACCACAATCAAGAAAACTGCTCTGTGGCTCTGGCTTCGGCCCCCTCGACAAAGAGGACAAGGACTGGCTACCCCTTGCTCCAGCGACTTCATTACTGTGCCGACACCTTTTCGTGCGCGGTACTCGTCTTCACTCCATGCGTGCTAAGAAGCGCCCCAGGAGCTTGCTTCGGAAGTTGCTGCTTCAAGCCCAGACTGCATTCTCCGTCGTCCCTGCCCTACCCTGCCCGCAAAGCTATATGCAGGGCTTGTGCTCTAGCATCGGGAATGCCAATCCGATGAGGAAGGAAGCCCCAAGTAGCCAAGTCGAAGAAAGGCCAGAAACTGCGAGGCAACACACAAGAAGCCCATGCGTAGGGCCTCCAGCTTGAGAGCCTCAGAAGTCCAGTCACAGGAAGGAGACCCCTCCGTCTCTTCCAGGGCACGGGCCCTGTCATCCAGTCTTTCGAGATGCGGCCAGACGCGCTGGAGCGCAGACGAGAGCCGCAGGCCCATCTGCCAGGAGGCGATCGGAGTCTACACACTCCACACCACTAGCATTACTGCACTAGCTGCAGTGGCCGGCCCCTTTATTTTTTGTAAAAACCCTCCCTCTTTGCTCGCCTCTGCGACTTTGGCGCTCGTCTCCTCCAGCTGCGCGGCGGCCCGCGCGACCTCGGAGCCTCGGCTTCGGCTCGGAAGGAAGAGGCGAGACGCAAGAGCCGCTGCCTCTCTCTCTCGTCTCGCCTCTCCAAGCCACTCTTTCCCTCTCTCTCTCGAGGTTGCTTCCCCGCCTTCGGCTTTCTGACACGTCGTCTGCGCCAGCGCGGCGATGTCGGCCGCAAGCTGCGCTAGGTACTCTTGCATCTGCGAGGTGCGAGGCGGGGGTGTTGCTACGATGATGAGACATGTCCCCCCACTTGATGACTGATGCACTGCGAGAGCGCTCGCCGCCTGCTGGACGTTGGCCAACCGCAGGCCCTCTTCCACAGACGACAAACGATCGTCTGGCGCAGATTTCAGAGGCGAGCAATGTCCTATGTGAGAAGGGAAGGCTCATTGCCAGCGTGGCTACCTCACATACAAACCACTTGAAGGCAAAAGCACTGCGCGGCACCAAATCTCTCCCAACCGTCGAAAATCGTGTCCGATTAGCATCCGCAAGATCGCACCGGTGTGATATTCACACAGGCGCCGCGCAAAGTCGAACTGCCACTGCTTGCAAAAATATCGGGACGATCGAATGTTTTTGAAAAGGCACCGCCGTGGTAAACCGAACAAGCCGAAAGCCTAACCCCTAATCCCCCCACACTTCCCGTGCACAGATCCTGGCCCCTAAACCCAAAAGGACTGCACAACAGCTGCAAAAGCAAACCAAAAACCCATACCCGTCACACCTGAGGCCCCCCAAAGCCAACTGTAGGCTGGAGCTCTGCATATCTTTTAATTGGTTATGGATCATCACTCCTGTGATGAGGGGCTCTAACATGCAGGCGCAACACAATGACGTATTTCGGACTGCGACTTGTAACTTGGTCGGACTGCGACTTTCCTGCGCATGCAGTAGTTCTCGGTAGCTTTCTTCAAGCTAGTGGGCAGCGGGGCCATCCTGGTGCAATGAAGTGCCACTGGAGCAGTGGTTGAAGATGTGTCCATGTGGCCGCAAAAAGTAAGTGCGATTCGCGGCCATTCCCGAGCCCTGACCCCAGAATGGATATCCTCTGATTGAACCATGTCGGCTTTAGCACCACTACTTGCAAACAGTCAAAGAGACTATCGAAGAATTATGTTTGCGATTCTCAGGCCGATCTGCGCCGGGCACCGGTATAGGCATCGGCACAGTGTCTTGTCGGACCCATGCACCGACTTCGATGTAAACATATGACACACAACCATGCCGATCGATTTAGAAGAGAAAGGGCCTGTGGCACGCAGCGCTGACTCTAAGCGCTGATCCTCGTTCGAGCTGAGAGCCTCGCACGGCGTTCCAGGGCTCAACTCTTTCAGCTATGGGTGGGGACAGTTCACGTCCCTTTGCTTTTTGCTTTGATCAGCTGCAATCGGGGTGTCAGAGGCCCGATGGAAGCTGTGCAAAAGAGCAAAGAGACATAGCTGGACAGGTTGAATCGTCCTGCTTGATAAGAGCAGTAAGTGGAATTGGTAGTAATCGTGGCAAACTATCACCACAGTTGTCGTAGCAAGAATCGTCACCGTCACCAGCATCCATGGCAACCGTTTTCGAGCTTTGACAAAGAAGAAGAGAGCAGTGGAGCGTCTCTGACCTCAGAGATGTCGCTTTGCGCCGTCCCACAGGTCCACCCCCACTCGAGGCCTCAAGGGCTCCAGTCCGCTCTCGCAGGGCTTCCAAGCCTCGGCACGAGCACTCCGTGAGACTCAGAACCATTCAGAACCCGTGCTCAAGCCAATCAGACACTACGAGTAGAAGCTCACCAGCGTGTTGGCGTCTGCGTCACTTTATGACGGTCCTCGCTGTCCCTCTGCACAGAGACATGCTGCTAGAAAGCAGGGCGCCAAAAATGGTGCCAGTGGGTTTAAAAGTTGGCACGAAGCACGCCTGACCGCTGGAAAAGCAAGCATGTAAAAACGGAATCAGACATCAGCCCTGGATTCGCTTGCTGTCCTTGATTCCAAGGTGGGTCCTGACCAGGCAATTGACCTGCGGGGTTTTGAAGCAAACGAGTAAAAAAACTCCGCTCCCCCAGGTTCTATCGGTCCCCCCGAGCCTGCTCCGCATCCATTCCCTTGCTCAACCACTCGAACTGGGAGCAATAGTCCGTGTTCTCCAGTGAACTCCCAGTATCCACCGTACCATCTTCGTTCAGCGTCCATTGGAACCTCAGCTCAAGAAGGCAGAAAGCACGCCGCCGGCCCCGAGAAGCACACGCTATCGCTTGCAGGCCAGACCGCTCGCGCTTGGCATTGAGCAGCTCTGCAATCTTCGCTCGGACGGGGCGAGGAGTAGAGTGCCGGAGGATGACACTCGCAACGCCTTGAGCAAGGATCGAGAGGCAGTCGCTACATCGACTGGCTCCCTCCGCACACACACATGCACACGGATGTCTTTTCCCGTCCTTCTTTGAGAGCCTCCTCCAGCAAGCTGTCAGACCCGACGGAGTAGTGCACGTCGTCATTGATGGCTTTCCACTCCGTCTGGAAAAGATTGAGTGCCTGAACACAAACTCTTGCGGTGCCGGTGGGCATGCCTGTGGCAGAGACAACTACCCGCCTAATCGACACTTCAATGCAGGCGGGCCGCCTGGAAAAAATGGCCATTGCCCAATGATGTGAACATCTCCTCGTCATCTCGTACTCGAACAGGAGGAAACCCCTGACAACTGGGCAATACCAAGACTGACAGACGGTAATCTTTCAGGCGGCCTCCTCGTCTGCAACGCGTGCCCGCCAAACTCGAAGGGCTTCTGCCTGCTGCACGGCATCTTCGCACATTCAAGACTTGCCTGGTGCTGAGTGTTGAGAAACGGAAAGACTCCAACACATCCCTCAAGTGTGCAGCACACCGTGACTTCGAATCCAGGCAGACCACAGCCTTGGAGTCGGACCCAGCCGGCTCCCGCACCAGCACGGGAATGTCATGGCCTTCTCTTCCCACAAGGAGGGCAGCTCATGGCAGCTCGCTTGTTCGAAGTACTGAGGCTCAAGCCCTGACGACCGGATCTCTTTTGGAACCCTCTCTGCCTTTCGGAGAACAGCCATGCTCTCCCTGTTGCAAGGTGAGACCCCTCCCACCTTATGGATGTTGCCACGTAGTGTAGCAGCTCGACACCAAGGCCGGTTTGAGCCCCTGAGATGCACTCGGAATGCATTGAGCTGAGGTGAGCGCTCTCTTCTCTTCGAGCGGCGGTTCGTGAAATCTGGGATCACCAGACGTGGCAGCACTTTGAAGGTTGTCGGCCTGCCATGACACAGGCAGCTTCTCAAGGCGCATCTCATGCTGACGGAGGCATCCCAGCTGCGGTGGCGTTTGGTTAATCCGTCGGGCACACTCGCGCCATTGGCTGACAAGTGCACACAGCAGCGACACCTTCACTTCGCGAGGAAAGAGAGAACTCCTGGGGGTCCGCTTGGTGTCGGCGCCTCCTCGGCATCCTTCTTCGAGTTGTAGCCTCTTGGCATCTCAGCCCCAGAGGTCCCAGGCATGCAGCCTTCGACTCCACGTTTTAAAGGATCTGCCTCGGGCTGCACCCCCTAATGACCGAATCCCAGCAAGCTTCCAGACACCCGGACCCCAAGTTGAAAGCTGAATTTCTGGCAAGCAGCCGCACTCCCGGCATAGCCGAGGAGCTTCATCTTTTCTGACCTTGTTTATGAAACTGCGCTAAGGACGTTCTCTTGCTGCTCCTTACTGCTCGGGGATGTGTTTTTTTCGACCCTCAA